AGATACTATCTCATTATAATGAGATAGTAACTCAATATAATGAGATAGTAACTCAATATAATGAGATAGTAACTCAATATAATGAGATACTATCTCATTATAATGAGATAGTATCTCAATATAATGAGATACTATCTCATTATAATGAGATAGTAACTCAATATAATGAGATAGTAACTCAATATAATGAGATAGTAACTCAATATAATGAGATACTATCTCATTATAATGAGATAGTATCTCAATATAATGAGATACTATCTCATTATAATGAGATACTATCTCATTATAATGAGATAGTTTTTTTTTTTTTTTTACCAATTTTTTAAGTTAAAATTTAGTATTTTTGGTCAATAGCTCCCAGGTCATGTGACCTATTGATGCAAAATCAGTGTGAAATTGTTTTACTAGTCTCTGTAGATGGGGCACACTCATTTGTTTTTCATTTTAACTCTTTTTTTATTTTTTAGCAATTTTTTAAGTTAAAATTGAGTATTTTTGGTCAATAGCTCCCAGATCATGTGACCTATTGATGCAAAATCACTTGGAAATTGTTCTACTAGTCTCTGTAGATGGGGCACACTCATTTGATTTTCATTTTAATTCTTTTTTTTATTTTTTAGCAATTTTTTTAGTTAAAATTTAGTATTTTTGGTCAATAGCTCCCAGGTCATGTGACCTATTGACCCAAAATCAGTGTGAAATTGTTCTACTAGTCTCTGTAGATGGGGCACACTCATTTGTTTTTCATTTTAATTCTTTTTTTTTTATTTTTTTTTACCAATTTTTTAAGTTAAAATTGAGTATTTTTGGTCAATAGCTCCCAGGTCATGTGACCTATTGACCCAAAATCAGTGTGAAATTGTTCTACTAGTCTCTGTAGATGGGGCACACTCATTTGTTTTGCATTTTAACTCTTTTTTTATTTTTTACCACATATGGACACCCTTATGCTTGAACATGGTGTTCGTTATGGACAATCCATGACGAGCACAGAAGTCCAACAACAGAACACCACTCGAGTTCAGATCGGGGCGACCATTCCTCCCAACCATGCCCCTCCAGGTCTCACTGTCATTGCCCACGTGAGCGTTGAAGTCTCCCAGCAGAACAAGGGAGTCCCCAGGAGGAGCACCCTCCAGTTCTCCCTCTAAGGACTCCAAGAAGGGTGGGTAATCTGAACTGTTGTTTGGCCCGTTAGCACAGACAACAGTCAGAACCCGTCCCCCCACCCTTAGGCGGAGCCCTCTCGTTCACCGGGATTAACCCCAACGTACAGGCACCGAGATGGGGGGCAACAAGTATGCCCACTCCTGCCAAGCGCCTGTCACTGTGGGCAACTCCAGAGTGGAAGTATGTCCAGCCCCTCTATAGGAGACTGGTTCCAGAACCAGAACCATACGTCGAGGTGAGACAGACTATTTCTAGCCGGAACCTCTCAGCCTCACACACTAGCTCCGGTCCCTTCCCACCAGCGAGGTGACATTCCACATCCCAAGAGCCAGCTTCTGCAGCCAAAGATCGGACCACCAGGGTCCCCTCCCCCGGCCAACACACATTGCATACGACCCTTATGGCCCCTCTCACGGGTGGTGGGCCCATGTAAGGGGGGACCCAACAATTCACACTGATTTTGGGTCAATAGGTCACATGACCTGGGAGCTATTGACCAAAAATACTCAATTTTAACTTAAAAAATTGGTAAAAAAATAAAAAAAGAGTTAAAATGAAAGACAAATGAGTGTGCCCCATCTACAGAGACTAGTAGAAAAATTTTACACTGATTTTGGGTCAATAGGTCACATGACCTGGGAGCTATTGAAGAAAAATACTAAATTTTAACTTAAATAATTGCTAAAAAATAAAAAAAGAGTTAAAATGAAAAACAAATGTGTGCCCCATCTACAGAGACTAGTAAAACCATTTCACACTGATTTTGGGTCAATAGGTCACATGACCTGGGAGCTATTGACGAAAAATACTCAATTTTAACTAAAAAAATTGGTAAAAAAAATAAAAAAGAGTTAAAATGAAACATAAATGAGTGTGTCCCATCTACAGAGACTAGTAGAACCATTTCACACTGATTTTGGGTCAATAGGTCACATGACCTGGGAGCTATTGACGAAAAATACTCAATTTTAACTAAAAAAATTGGTAAAAAAAATAAAAAAGAGTTAAAATGCAAAACAAATGAGTGTGTCCCATCTACAGAGACTAGTAGAACAATTTCACACTGATTTTGCATCAATAGGTCACATGACCTGGGAGCTATTGACCAAAAATACTCAATTTTAACTTAAAAATTGGTAAAAAATAAAAAAAAACTATCTCAATATAATGAGATAGTAACTCAATATAATGAGATAGTATCTCATTATAATGAGATAGTAACTCAATATAATGAGATAGTAACTCAATATAATGAGATACTATCTCATTATATTGAGTTACTATCTCATTATAATGAGATACTATCTCATTATATTGAGTTACTATCTCATTATATTGAGATAGTTTTTTTTTTTTTTTTTTACAGAGTGGCGGAAACGGGCTTCCATACTCCACTGCACTCTCCCAGCCTGAGAAAAATCCGTCAACGGTTTTGCTGCCGCCGAAGCCGTCAAAGCCGACTCTCCTCCTCCAATAATAAGTAAATAAAAAATAAAATAAAATAAAAATTTCCATATCCCAGCCATCGGAGCCTTCGGAGCATCCTCCTGGGTCCTCCTAAGGCTGGGTAGGCTGGGTCCTTCGAAGAACACAGCCTGCAAATTGAGACGCAGCTATTGTGGACCACTGAATAGCACAATCAATTAGCTAGCAAGCCCAACACCTGTCCGCCAAAACGCTACGCAAATCTCTGACGTTTTTGATTTATGGCAAGATATCACTGATGTCATTTTGACTAGTCAGAATGTCAATTTAAGATATCTTTAATGGAAAAGCTGAATAATTCAAGATATCTTTAATTCATTTAGAGATATCTTAAAAGGAATTTCGAATAGTCGAAATTACAATTCAAGATATCTTTAAATTTGTTTAGTCTAGTCATTATTTGCTTTTAAGATATCTATAATTGAGTTTTCACTAGTCAAAACTGCATATCTCCTATCCTAAAATACATTTAAGATATCTTGAAATATGGTGGCATTTGAGATATCTTTAATTAGAATTATGACTAGTCAAAACTAAAATCGAGATATCTTCAATTTCCTTTATGACTAGTCGTAATTTAATTGTAGATATCTGAAATGTGTATTTCAGATAGTCAGTAATTAATTCTAGATATCTTAAATTGACGTCTCCATACAAGTTAATGGTAAATCTGACGTCATTTCGACTAGTCAGAATGTAATTAGAGATATCCCGAATAGGAATTTTGACTAGTCAAAATATATTTAGAGATATCTTAAATTACTAAAACGTCTAGTCATAAAACAATTTGAGATATCTTGAATGTAAAGGTGGAACAGCCGAATTTATGTTAAAACGGCTTGCCATAGGAGGACATCATTATCATATTAGGAAAACGCGCGTTAAATACGCGCGTTCTGACCGACACAACGCGCGTATTTAACGCGCGTTCTGACCGACACAACGCGCGTATTTAACGCGCGTCTTGTGGTACTATCATGACGCGCGTAAAAGGCGGCGCTTGTTGGTAAAAGACGGCGTAAAAAGCGGCGTAATCTCGGGAGAACGCGCGTTTTTTGCGGGTTAACTTCAATCTTAACGCGACAATTCAATGCGAAATATGACCTTCTTGGCTTGCCATACAGCTCCGTTTCCCGCACGCGCAAAGCTACACTCGATCTCGTCACTCACGTGCGCCAGGCACGGCGGAGGCTTGATCGCCCTCCGTCTCCGCTGCATTCGTGACAATAAAGCCTAAACAGAGTTATAGTGAGAGAAAAAAGAAAGGAGGTAAATACATCTAGCGAATCGCAGGGCTGCTGGACTCATTCCGATCAGTCTGAGGGGGGGGCAGAGGAGACGAAGGGAGCATGTCTGAGAGCAGCTATCAGGGGAATAACTGCATCCCCCATCAGACGGTAAGAGACCTGCAAATCCCCGCTGCAAGGCAGAAATGGGATTAAACTCTTAGTCAATGGCAAAGGACACCAGGCCCCTTTGTAGGCTATATCTTGCTTCTTTGCAAATCCGAGATAGCTGACAATTCCCCCCCATCAAATAAAGTAAACTTCGTATTCTCTCTCTGGACAGTGTTGTATAATCCTGTCGCCTGTCACTGTGGGATTAAAGCAATTGACGTGACGGTTGGACCGGGAGCTGAATTGCTTAGATAAGCAAAGCAGCATCGGTTACTATTTATGTATAAAAAAAACCCAATCTGAATGAGTTTGGGAATATAAAGCACACATAGTTCCTTTTATAACCTAAACCAAAGCGCTGATATTAAAGGAGCCTGTCATCCTCTTGAACAACGGGTAATCACTGGTTACCATGGAAACCCAGCATTTTCTCTTTTGCTGTTGCCAGGCACTCTCCATGGTGCTACAGGGTGGGGACCCTTGTTCAGTGGGAAAATATATTTTCCATATTTTGAATGCAAATTCAAGCTTTGATAGTTGATCACTTTGATAGTTTGAAAGTCCTTTCTCAAAGAGTTGGCGTACCAGAATGTTGTTAAAGTTTGCTGGTTTCAGAACTTGAGGAATGCACGGTCATAGATTTAAAAAAGTACCAGTTTTGATACAAAAGCAAAGAGAAAATATTGTGTAATTTTTGTTAAATATGAATACTTTGTTTAGTTTGAAGCATCTAATGAAGATTTCAAATATACTCTTAACTTGGGTCTATAACTGCCATTCATGCACAGTCCTCACTTAGGGATTTATTAACCTTTAGTATTTCTCTGGAGGAAATTAAAAAATATGGATATATTTTAAAATATGCATAACATAACCAATTATCTAATGCAGAACATCCGAACCTTTCCTCTCTCCCACCATCCTTTCTCTCTGATCTCCCTGCAGGGTGAAAATTTGCTGATCAAAGGGGGTAGAGTTGTAAATGATGATCAGTCTTTCTACGCAGACGTCTACATTGAGGACGGGCTCATTAAGTATGTACAAAAAGTTATTGTCACTATTACAGTCATTAATGCTAGTTTTATGTGCAGCCGGTGTGTCATATCTCAGTCCTATTTTTACATTCACCATGTTTACATTTGATCAATGTTGCACTTTAAGAAATGGAAATGTCTTGAGAGCTGTACAAAACAAAATGTTGTTTTGCATACACCGAATGTGTATAAAATGACAATAAAGTCTAATAGAGTGCCTTGCAAAGATATTCATGCCTGTTTACACTCACAAGCTTCAATTTCATCTCCCTATCAAATGAGATCAGACTGCAAAAACCATCAAGAATTAAGTAAAAAAAAAAAAATTGAGTGTATTTACCCTTAATTTTAGTAGATTAATAAGATGATTTGCCAATGGAATGTGCATTTTTACTCCTAAAACAAGATAATTAGATAATATGAACTTAAAATAAGACACAGCAGTTTTTTTTTCTTATTTTAAATGTAAATTGTCTTGTTCCATTTGCAAAGTATCTGAATTCAATTCAATTCAATTCAAGAAAAACTTAATTTTTTTTACTTAATTTAAGCAAAAATCACTCATTTAGATTTCCATTTTTTGCAATGGCCTGTGCCTACTGAAGAGCATTTAACTTTACTGGATACAGCTTGAGTAAAACTACTTTTTTTCCTTTTTAGCATAAAGCTCAGATTAGCACTAGATTACCACAGTATAATGCTACCACCACTATATTTTGCTGTATGAATTGAATGCTGAGAGATATATGCAGCATTATTCTTCCACCACACATAGCATTTAGCTACTAGGCAAAAAAAGTATTTTATATTGTCCTATCTAAGCCCAAATATTAATGAAATGTTTTTTTACTTGCAAGATGCTGCATGTTTATTAAAAACTTAATCACATGCTTCCTTCATGTGACTGCTTTTCTCTTTCTGTTCCCTCACCCTCTTGTATTTCCTCCTCTGCAGGCAGGTGGGGGAGAACCTGGCCGTTCCAGGGGGCGTCAGAGTCATCGAGGCTAAAGGCCGCATGATAATACCAGGGGGTATAGACGTCAACACGTGTCTGATGAAGCCTTACCTCAGCACACAGCCTGTTGATGATTTCTTCCAGGGCACTAAGGCTGCACTTGCTGGCGGCACCACCATGATCAGTAAGCTTGGACATTTTCAGGTCAGAATGTAAAAAAACAAATTAATTCCTTTCATAACGATTAACTTTGCTTTCCGTTTTCAGTTGATCATGTGACCCCTCAGCCTGGTGAAAGTTTGCTGGAGGCTTTTGAGCGCTGGCAGGAGGTTGCAGATAAAAAGGCATGCTGTGACTACTCTCTGCATGTTGACATCCCACAGTGGAACGAGAATGTAAAGGATGAGCTGGAACTGCTGGTGCAGGACAAAGGTGACACAACTGTGATTTATTTCTGCCATTCTTTACACATTACTCCTTTTGGCTGGCAACTATCAGGAACAGATTTGTAGGAATGATTCCAAAGTAGATATCCGAAGGCTTTATTATGTTACCAGTCTATGCAACTTTGTTATACACAAAAACACACAAAAATACACAAATTGTATTTACACAGAGAGGTGAACCCAACATGTATAATACAAACTTGCTACTTTGATAAAAAAAAAAACAACAACAAGATAACTGCTAACATTATTCAATATGTTGATTATTGTAATAATAAAATCATGTAGGGCTGCTCAGTGGCGCAGTAGCTTGCAGCAAGAAGGTTCTGGGTTTGATTCCTGGCCTGGGGTCTTTCTGAATGGAGTTTGCATGTTCTCCCTGAGCATGCTTGGGTTCTCTCCGGGTACTCCCACAGTCCAAAAATATGACTGTTAGCCTCTTACACCCTAAGGGGGTATAAATAAATTTCTGCCTGACAAAAACACACAAAAGTAAATAACTTATAGCCTCAAAGCTATTAGATTTAAGAAGAAACTTTTGGTACGTCTGTAAAGGTAAGATGTCATAGAATGGTTTTCTGGTGGCAGCACCATTGTAGCTTTGACCCTGCCTGAAATATTAGGGACAAAATACAAAATATTTTGCATTTTTTGAACCTCGCCAAAAATTCTTTTGAAATAAACATTGCAAAACACTACCAAAATATTATTTATAGCACAAAAAAGTAGTACAGACTTTCAAATCTAAATGTTGTGTAAAAATATACCAAATTTGGACTCAATCAGATGAATCATATTTATTTTAGAATGGTATTAGTGAGAAATTTCTTAGGCGGAGAGGCCATTTTGGCACATTTATCCATAAATGTCACCAAACTGTGCCAAATCTGTTTTTTACATCAATACTGGGGGTTTGGTAAAATTACGAGGTCATGTAGCAGCTGGACCCGCCGGTGGGTCCGTAGGGTTCAAGCGGTTAGGTTAATCGGCTTCTCTACAGTCCCTTAATGTGAGTGTGTGTGTGAATGGTTGTCTGTCATGTTTGTCTCTGTGTTGCCCTGCGATGGACTGATGACCTGTCAAGGGTGTACCCCGCGTCTCGCCCATTAACTGCAGGAGATAGGCACCAGCATCCCTCGCGATCCCACTCGGGATAAGCGTGCTAGAAAATAGATGGATGTATTATTATATAAATCATGTATTATTCTTTATATTTTTATGTTAATGCTCATACGTCTTGTGCAGAAGCTACATTAGACCACAACATGATACTTCTTTGGCCAACTTTTCCTTTTTAGAAGTCCTAAGTCTATCTAAAGCTGATGCATTAAGCTTAGTTAGAGTAGCCGTTATCTGGCATCACCATCTTAGCTGTCTGCAATCAATTTATTTAAAAATCTTAAGTATTACATTACTGTTAAAGGTATTACTTTTATCACTGTGTTGTGTGATGTTATTTAAATTCCCAGCAAATATGACTGTTCATGTTTTTCTGTGAATGAAAATTGTCTTTTTTCAGTGGTAGTAGCATTATCAGCTGACAGGCAGTAAGCAGCCACAGATCTTCAGTTGTTCAATTGAGTCATCCAGTCAGATTGGTTAAATGTTTTTCTTTTAAAGAAAAGCCTCCAGAGTGCTCTGATTCATGTTCAGAGTGTTCAGAGAACCACTCATACCTAGATCTCACTCTCGATTTGAAATACAGCCTTGATTATTACTGTCATTATCATCTGCTCACTTTGAAACCTTCCTTGTTGTCAGGCATCAATTCCTTTCAGCTGTACATGGCTTACAAAGATGTGTACCAGATGACAGACACTCAGGTAAGGTTCCTAATTAGTGATATAACCCAAACAAATTCTGCACAAGCTCAGTATTATATACTGTATTTTAACTAAGTACATTTCTGAATTTATAACTTTTTAAAATGTACATTTATTATTCTTATTATCCTCTCAAATCTGCAGTTGTATGAGGCTTTCTCCTTCCTGAAGCAGTTGGGTGCGGTGGTGATGGTTCATGCTGAGAATGGAGACCTGATTGTGCAGGTAACTGCTGCAGTTAATGATAATTCCTCCTTCTGGTTGAAAAAGGCCCAACATTGGCTCTTCTCTCTCAGGAAGTGAATGATCTGGACTCAGCACCTTGCAAACTTTGATAGAGAATCTGAAAACATGTTGTGTCTCAGGATGAGAGTGTGGTACAAAGCTGCATGGCACAGGAGAGACAAAAATGTACTATGAGTGGTGAAGAAAGCAAATGCATTGTGGGATGCTGTCTACAGCATCTGGCTCAGTTCCCCCCAATTAGCAGAAGTAATTTAGACGTTGGTTTTCAAGCTAAATCTGGTCGGTCCATCTTATTCTTTATTTATTCCGGAAATAGTTACTGAAACCTGGGCTGTGTTTGGTCAATCTGATTTGTCCCACTTTAGTTCAATAACAGATGTTTAAAACTGGGTTTTCAACAATCTGAAAATTACGGTTTCTCAACTTTCACTTTTTAACTAAATATATAATTTGGATGTTAATCATGTCGTCTTTTCATATCTTTTCAACTAATCTTTGTTGGGTGGGGTAAATGTGACACGAGTCCAGAGAAGTTCAAATGCTTTGCCACAGATCGCATCCACCTAGGCTACAATTTGTTTTGTCCTACATTTATCAGGAAAATAATTCCGGAAATTTACAACATAACAAATTAAGTTAATAATAATTTCCTGCTATTTCCCATGTAAACATTTTGATACCTTAAGGATTTTCTACTTACAGTCATTGATCCAGTTTTAACATCTGTTTTTTTTTTTATCTATTTGCTGTCTGTGTTTTATTCATGTGCATTCAAGCCAAGTGTCCAGTTAAAATTGTATGGCGTCCATCATGACTATAATGATTCTTGATTCAGTTTCCAGGCTCCAGTCTGAGGAATGTGCATGTTATGTAACTCACTATCTTTCAAAAGGGGTAGTTAGAGGATAACTGCTGCTGCTGTCATCCCTGACGTTTAATATCCTAATGGTGTTGATGTAATGGTGATTAAGATAGTATGTTGATTGAGCAAGTTAAAAAAGGATAAAGCAGCATTTTAAGATAAAAATGTAATATTTAACAATACACGAACAATTCTGAATATTATTTCCATATTTGTTTATACAATCACCCTGTAGAGATGCTATAATAACATCTGCTATTTGGAGCAATAATAAAACGCATTCATTTGAAGTCAATGTCTTAGGCAATAAAATCAAAAACATCACTAGAACTTCAAAAAGAACTTGTAATTCATAATTTAATGCTAACGGTTACTAGAACGTATGAAAATAATTCAGAATTTTGTGTTTAAGGAACAAAGAAAAATCCTTGGAATGGGAATTACTGGCCCTGAAGGCCATCCTCTGAGTCGACCCGAAGAGGTAATTATTCTCTGGTATTAAACCCTCACTGCTCAATGCACAATCACTGAAAAACACTGAAACACTTTCTTGTTTTATACAGCTAGAAGCTGAAGCAGTTTTCCGTGCCATCACTCTTGGAAACCGTATCAACTGTCCTGTCTACATCACCAAAGTGATGAGCAAGAGTGCAGCTGACACCATCACTCAGGCCCGGAGGAAAGGTACATCTGATCTTTTCCAGTTTATTCTTATTTTTAGGGTCTTAAAATGTATTACAAGCATGCGTACCCAGTACACTTTAACACATCTATCTCTACATTATAAACATAAACTCAGAATTTTATCAGGTAGACTAACACATAGTTGGGGCAGAGCTTATAAAGTGGATAGATTTTCATTTTATTTATTTTTTTATTTTTCAAATAAATAAATAATAACCCAAGTTAACCATTTCAGCCCCCAACAATCCAGTGCCACTAAGGAATTACTTAAAATGTCAGTAGAATCCACCTGTGTGTATCTAATCTCTGTATACATCCAACTTGTGTATGGAGAGTGAACAAGCAGCATCTGTGGAGATGTTAAAAGTATTGCTGTCTTAGACGGTACTATCCCAATCATTAAACCTCCCATAGGGCACTATTCAAAATTCAAGAAAATTACGACCCTGCTGCTGCAAATCTATAAAGATTTTGTTATCTAAACTGACAAGCTGAGCAAGGAGAGCATACATCAGAGAGCTAACCAAATGGGAAATTGTAGTTCTGGAAGAATTGAAGAGATCTGTAGCTCAGTAGGTAGAATAGTTTGACAGGACGGTGATTGGTTGTGCATTCCACAATTTAATTATTTTTCAACATTGATGGGGAGTAAAATAAGGCCATTGTTAAGATAATGCCATAATAGTCTTTGTTGAGAGCAACTGTACAAAGTAAGGTTCTTTGGCCACGGGGAAACAAAACAGAAATCGTCTTTCCTATACTGAAATTGGGTCGGCGGGGGGGGGGGGGCAGTTAAAAGACCAGAGCTACGTATCTGTATATATTTTGTGTATGATTTATGTTGTTAGTAAATGCATATGCTGTGTCTTTTTACATCCTTTTCACATATATACAATACTGTTGTGCTGTTCTATCTCATAAAATCCCATGATATACAATTGACATAATTTAGATGTGATTCAATAAGAAAACGTAAATCAATGTGAACATTTTAGGGAACCTGTAAAAATGAAAGCTTAAAATTTTTACCAAATGTTTCTGTCTCTATCATTCCTCCAAGGCTCTGTGGTTTTTGGGGAGCCGATTACAGCGAGCCTGGCAACCGATGGTTCTCATTATTGGAGTAAGAACTGGGCCAAGGCAGCTGCTTATGTGACCTCTCCTCCACTGAGTCCTGACCCCACCACTCCAGATCATCTGCACACACTTCTGGCCTGGTAAGATCCAAGCACTTCTTATCCCTTTTAATTAACACAGCTATCCTATTTATTTGATTCTGTTGAGGCAGGATGTTCAAACCCTTTAAGTTTTAATAGCACAAAATATACTATGGAAGTTTTTAATTTAGCTATTTTGCTGTAACCTTTGCATAATGTGAACTGAATATCATCTAGCTGACAGGAAAACTGGCATCTTTCAGATCCACTAATTATTCCATATTCTTACGAATGCGATAGCAAGCAAAATAAATGACTGTGAAAACTAATCAGATGGTGAAAACATATGCATGAGGTAGAAAGAGCAGGGAGAACAAGGCAACTAGAATAAAAGAATCATCTAATTTAGAAATAGGTTCAACTGAAGCAAACTATGGATCATGAGAGTTAAGATGTTAGAATCCCAAAATGGGGAAGAGAAAAGTCCATGAGACCAAACCCATTTCTACACTCTTCCCAGACATGAACACACCCACCAGCAACTTCCAACTACACACTTTTTGTCTGTCCCCAATACCATAAATAGCACAGGGCCTAGACACTCATCAACTGTTGCCTTGGATACCAAGTGCCTCCCATCTCCACTTCAGTCCTCCCATCTCCTTCATTCTACGCTGCTCCTCTGCACTTCCTGTGCATCTTCAGGCGCTTCTTTGCTGTCATTCACATGTGAAAAGAGTATATTCTTAGCTTCTTCCTCAAAGAGAGTATTTTCTGCCATTTGTCGGTGAGGATCATTATTGCTGTCCTGATATTAGTGTGATGAACAAACAATAATTACTGTAATTGAGGGTTATTATGCATCTCCTTCTACATGTTTTTCTAAACTGAGCACCAACACTCAATTGGCTTTATTGTGTTGTACAAAAGAAGGGTTTAAGTGAGTGTTTGCGGTACTTCTTATGTAATATATATATATATATATATATATATATATATATATATATATATATATATATATATATATATATATATATTACGCTGTTCTTTAACCAATGCTCTTGAGTTGAAGCTGCAGCTCCACTGCACCATCCAGACTTGTACAGCTGGCTGGTTTTATGTTAGAAAAACTCTTTTTGACAGGTACTTCAAACAGCGGCTCAATGAGGACACCTGGTGGTCAATTTACAACAAGCAACAATCCCTCAGTCCATCTCTGATGAATAAGCATGCCCTCAAGTGTATATTACCTTGCATATATGTACAGTTTCCCCACATTTTTTTCCACACAAGAGCACAAATTAGTGCAACATTGTAAATAGGAAAAGAAAAATGTTTTACAACATCTTTACAAATGGGAATCCCTGTGATCCATTTATTAATTTTTATCCCTCTTAACTCTGTCACCCCTTAACAAAATCCACTGAATCAATGGCCTAAACTTTTATCTCAGTATAAATCCAGCTTCAGTGGCTTGTTAAAGAAAGCTAGCATCACAAAGACTGTGAAACAGAGCAGCACAGACAGACCTTTGGTAAAAGGTTTAAGGCAGCATTATGGTATAAACAAATATCTCAAGCTTTGGAAATTCCACATAGGCCTCTTTAATTCCTCATCAAAAGGATTAGTATACAAAAATAGCAAAACTTTGTCTTTGACAAAACTGACAGAACAGCCAAGGAACCTGAGAACTCTTTTTTAATTAAAGACACAGCCAAGAGGCACAAAGTGACTGGTGGAGCTGCAGAGATCCACACCTTAGGTTGGGGAATCAGCACAGGACAAATATTAGTCATTCACTTCACCAATCTGGATTTTATAGAAGAGGAATAAAATCAAAGCTGTTTTTAAAAGGCAATCAGAAGAAGAGCTATTTAATTATAAACAGAATCCATATAGGTGAATGTGTTGTGTTCAAATTAAAACAAGTAGACCTTTGGCCCAATTCAAAGCTATTATTTTTGGAGGAAATCTAACACTGCACAATGAACATGCTGTCCCTTTAGGGATCGCAATTAAATGCATTTGCAACATAACTGCAGGTTTACAAACGTCAAATTTCAAATCAAAGATGCACTCAACATTCTTCACATTACATTTAACAGGATAAGACTCTAGATAGGTGGTGGCAATCTGCTGCCACATAGAGAGGAAGTTAATATTGTACCTAGAAGGCAGATCCAGGCATCTGAGTAACAGGAAGCATTTTTCCATTCAGGAACAACACCTCCAGCAGCAACTCTGGACAAGTTAGCTCATTTAGAAAATTAAAACTCAGAGTGAAACATCTGCATGTTTGTGATTTGTGCAAATGAAAATAAAAAATCAACCAAAACCTCAATTTTAGATAAAAAAAATAAAATAAATAAATAAATCACAATTGTTATTTTTGGCTAAATTGCTCAGCCCTACTATCCCTATGGTTAACTGTGGTACTGATAACATAATGCTTAATGTTTTTTTCTTTAACATAGACTGGAACCTTTTATGGGGTGAGAGGACGATGGATGGAGCTAAATAAAGGAAATCCTGGGAGTTAAAAGGGAAGTTGTTTGAGACTATATGAGAATATTGACCGGGACCTAAAGCTGGACAACAACAAACATGCAGACACAGCTACAATTAACATTAGATTAAAACAAACTGTGTTAGGATGGACCTGTTAAAATACAGACCTGAATCTTGTTACACATAATTGGCAAGACAAGAACACTGATGTTCCCAGACACTATCTATGTGATCTGATTGAGCTTGAGCAATTTTTGAACTTGTTTTCTTTATTGTTTATAAACCTTTTTTCTTTACCTAACTATGCACAACTTTGGTTTTGTCCATAACCAAATTCTGTTAAAAATATTAGAGCTTGTGGCTGTAATATATTAAAATAAGACAAGGTCTAAGCGGTATGAATACTTTTGCAAGGTGAACTACGTTTCTGTTTTGCAGAGTAATCTTATTCTTTGTTCTCAGAGACATTTTTTTACCAAAAAAAAAAAAAAAATCACTCTGTGTCCCTTCGATTCTCTGTTTCAGCGGGGACCTCCAGGTGGTGGGCAGCGCTCACTGTGCATACAGCACTTCACAAAAAGCTATCGGCAAAGACGACTTCACCCTGATCCCAGAGGGAACCAATGGAGTCGAGGAAAGAATGGGTTTTGTCTGGGACAAGGCTGTGGTGAGCAAAGACAGTCTCAATGTTTTTTCCGGTCCTTGTGGATCTCTGGCTTTTGTTTTTCGTATAACCATTTTAAATTCCCTTTCTTTCTCACTAAGGCCATGGGAAAGATGGACGAAAACCAGTTTGTTGCAGTCACTTCAACCAACGCTGCAAAAATCTTTAATCTGTACCCACGTAAGGGACGCATAGCCGCTGGTTCTGATGCTGATATTGTTATCTGGGACCCTGACAGTGTGAAAACAATCACTGCCAAACTGCAGCAGTCGGTAAGTAGCATAAGATTTATAAACTGTAAATAAAACAGCTGTTGCAAGCTCAACTAAAAAGTTACTGTATGGGTAGGGGTAAGTATTTATTATTTATAACAGGGTAGAGGAATTTTTTAACTATACATTTTGAGGTAATGTGATCGTTATTCTGATGGGAAAGCTGTTTTTTTCCTATCTAGAAACAGATATTCATGAGAGTATTTTATAAACACTTTAAGCAAACATTTCACTTTCACTGAAGAAAAGGACATTCTGTGAAAAATGCACTTTGGATAAGCTGCTAAAAAATACTTCACTATACCCCCCTTTAAACATGCAAATCTGCCTTAAGCATGCAAATCAACACAAAGCACATTTAAATGCATTCAGGCTATATGCTGGATCTAACCAAGACTCCCTGTCATGATGCCACCCTAGGGTTATAATCCCCTCTTCAACCCTCAAAATCTCTCCCCACCAAATTAATTTCATTGTCAATATTCCGTCATTGAGCCCTTCGATAAATTCCTTTCTTTATATCTAAATTATCAAATCCACTTTGTCCCTCTTATTGACTCCCTTTATCTTTTCTATTTTTTACCCCTATCTTTCCAACCAAGGCTGCAGAATACAACATCTTTGAGGGTCTGGAGTGCCGTGGTGGGCCGGCGCTGGTTTTGAGCCATGGCCGGATTGTTTACGAAGGCAGCAAACTGCAGGTTCAACCGGGCACTGGTCGGTTTTTACCACGCAAGCCATTCCCTGACCTTGCCTACCAGAGGGTCAATTGCAGAAATCAGGTAGAGTCCAAAAAATATTTCAACAGCAACATTAAGGATTTGGTGTTTTGAAAAAGGTGCATTGGAATTTGAAGGACTGCATGATATTGAACAAATTAGACAAAATTAAAAACTCATTAATAAAACATTGCTGGTTCTTTGTAAAAACATTTGTTGGATAGAGTTAAAGCCCTTAGGTTGTTGAGACAAAAAGATGCTGACCTTTAATGGTTGGAAAAAGATTTTAATAATAATAATTATTACATTTAATAATTAATAATTATTAATAATTCTTGTAAGCTTTTCACCTTTGTAATCTAGGAGACACTAACTTTATTATATTTTATGGAGATTTTAGGAAATAAACCAGCACAGAAGAGATATGCTTTTTTATGCAGCCCTTGAATCAAGTATATTTTTTTATTTCAGAAGATATTATGCCTTGATTTACTTAAAATGTCTTCAAATTAAAGCAGAAAGAAAATACACAGAAGTGCATATATGTGTGTGTTTTCAAAGAATGTTTTCTAACTTCATTTTGTAAATTTTCTTTAATAGGTTAAGAGCAAGCAGGGTGTCACTCGAGGGATATATGACGGCCCTGTGTACGATGTTGCTCCTACACCTAAATATATTACTCCTTCTCCGTCAGCCAAGACTTCCCCCACTTCTCACCAACCACCGCCGATACGCAACCTTCATCAGTCCAACTTCAGCCTTTCAGGTTCAGTAAACAGCTATTTTTGTATCCGAACACTTCAGAGGCACCATTTAAGTTATTTTGTTGTGAGGATTTTTTTTTTTATTATTATTATAATCAACAACACTAGTTCTATCAACTGCTGTAGCATGATGTCATGTTGTAGTGGGTTTAGAAAACCAGTTTAGAAAAATCCTCAAATCAGGAGCATTTGTGTTGGGTAATTTTAACAGTTTAACTTTTGTCTCTAAAAACTAAATACATTCAGTCATAAAATCCTGAGGTTCTTTGCATTAACGGCAGACCAAATATGGACCAGTGGGTTACAAATGATGAGTAAGATTAACACAACCAACAGGCTTAATCAGGCTAACTTAAACTAATAATGCTGGAGTTGTTTAGGTAAGAGGACAGGAACTAAGGTTAATATCTCCTGCAAAAATGTTATATTACATCTAAAATTATTTAACTAAGATCTAAAAATTATTTCAGTTTGTTTTACTTTATTTTCATTTTATGTAACAGGAAGTAACATTTCCTCACTATTGGAGAAAAACGTGGCATTTCCACAGAATGTATCATAAAGGATTACATTGCTTTGTCATGGAAATTCCAGTTTTGAGGGGTAATTGATAAGGTTGATTTCCTCACACGAAGCAGAAAGTTTTGAAGATTTCTTGCCATAGAGCAACAAGTTTTATCTCAAGCTGTTTTAAAAAGCCCTGAAATCAGACATCACAGGGGCTTTGTCTGACTTGCTGTTAGTCTTCTAGCTCTGTGAGCTTTCTTTAATTTTGATATATTCACTGTGATGACATATTTCATGTACAGGAAAATGAACTATGACTGATAATAACGGCACAGAAGCTCATGTCCAGGACCTTTCTTAACCCTTAAAGCTACTTATTCTTGCAATAATCCCAAAATGTGTCTGTTTTTCCTTAGGTGCTCAGATTGATGACAACATCCCTCGTAGGTCTGGCCACCGCATCGTAGCACCCCCAGGTGGCCGCTCAAACATCACCAGCCTTGGCTAAAGGCTTGGCTCTGCATTTGCATAAACCATGGCCGGATTGGGGTTTGGTCTTTTAGGTGTGCATGGGTGTAAAAGTATGACTGCCACGAAATAATATCTTTGTGTAAACTCCAAAATGTTTGTTTTTTCAGCTTTGCACTTATTTTAAGGACATCCATGCTACTAGTAAAACAATGTGATTCACAATCAGACAGCCTATTTAAAACTTAGCTAAACTTGTTCAGGACTAACCTAATCCTGTTGTTCTTCCTTTTAAATACAACTTTCCTTTTATTCTTCCTCACTGTCTATTTCTTAATAAATGAGTCTGCTCAGACATGGTGCTACTTTTCCACCACCTGGTGGACTGCAGAAAGGTTCACTTTTGTTGTATGTTTGCCTGCAAATAGTTTGAACACCTTTAATATTATTAATTTCATTTGAACTGAAATAGGCTGGTTTTACATAGGCTATTGCATGGACAAATCTTTAAATGTTGCACTAGTTGTTAATTGTGGCAACACATTACACATGAAACTGCACTAGAAGCACATTTGTATCCAACAGCACAAACCTGTTTGCATACTGGAAAAATGTAGATGCTTTAATAATGTATTCCCATTCACTGTGGACATGTTTGGCTGCTCATAGCTAGGAAACATAGCATTCACCGAAAAAGTTCCTGCAACTGCAATAAAAGCAAAATGAGTGTCCTCCACCAAATACTTTATGCAAAACATGTTGATGTTCTCCTCCTATTCCAATGTGAAAGTGGTTTAGACTGATTTTAGACCAATATAACAGTTTTTTCCCCCACAAAATCTGTGATGTTTTTAAGGGGCTTCTTTCAATAACTGTTTCTGGAAATGATAATTTCTTTAATGAAGCCCTGAGCTTACTTCTGTAAAAAGGGATCTAGAAAGCTTCCTTGCTCTCTCAATCAATCTTTGTAATCTGTTTATGTTCCCTATGCTTAATTCTAGGTGTTTTTGTGATGTTGCTCCAGTTAGTGTTTCTTAACTGCTTGTTTTTTTTCTTTTCTTTCTGTGTTATAATTTGTTTGTTGGAACCACTAATTAATAATAAAGTTTGGACTGTTGTCAAGACCTATTGTGAAAAGACTCTTGTAAGTGTAATACACATTCAAGAAAATCAATTACATTTAACTCTTGGAAGATGACAGCCCAGGACAGAATTTCTAATTATTAATTATTTTAAGTGATTACAGAACAGTACTAAGATCTCATTGGCTTAAAAAAAGAATGAATAACTTCAGACTCATGCACGCAGAGGTGGTAGTATCTTCTTACATATACTCACTTATATTTACTTGAATAACTTTTTGAAAAAAAATAGTTTTGATAAATTTACAGCACAATGCTTTTATTTCTTATTTGTATTCTTTTGAGATTACAGAAGCCCTGATAGGCTAGTGAGAAAAAAAATATGTAGAGATGAAAAGTTTTTTCATTTTTTTCTTCCTGCCTTTGTCATAATGGGTTTTAAAGATCTGACCCACATGCAGAGAACGACTCAGAGACCAAGGGTAAAAGTTTAACAGGTTTATTGTAGGTTAGCAAACACTGATGGAGATTGAAACTCTGTGGGGAAACAATGCTGGAACTCAGCGGACTGGTGAACCGGAACCGGAAATTCTTAAGTTATCAGTTCAGGGACAGTAGGAAAATAGACTGAGGCTTGAATATTGCTTGAGAGGCAGTCACTCTTGGCGGGCTCTTGGTTTAACCTTGGATCCAGTTTGTGGGGTTTTAATCCAGAGAAGAGGGAACTCGTTGGAGGGCGGACAGGCAGACATACGTTGGGCCCAGAGGAGTAAAGGAGCGGACTGTCACTTGGTTTTCCAGGAGTGGACTTAAATGGATCATGTGCAGGTTTTCCCCTTGCTCAGTGAGACTCAGTAAATCCTTCCAGGGGTAGAAGGTCCAGGCTTATCCAGTAACACAGGAAGTCTTCCTGCCGAAGAACAAAGAAAAAAAAAGTTCAGACTCAGAGAAACAATGCTAAGGTTAGGTTCTGCTAATCTCAGTTTGGCTAGAGTACCCAATGCTGGCAAACACTCTGGCATCGAGGTGGCCGCTGCTCAAGTACTCCTCTGGTAATGACCCAACGAGCCGCAGGTGTGCAGGGAGGCCCAACGAGGACAGGGCACCGCCCGGTGGTGGAGAGAGGAAAACACAAAAAACAACTCACACAAACTGGAATCCTAACAGCCTTGAAAGCAAGTCTTTTTTGTTTGTTTTTTAAGGCTAAAAAGCATTTACTGACAACATGTTTTTAGTTTATTTACGTTACACAGTCTTAGCCCTAAGAAAGAGAAGTCATAATGTTGGCCAAAAACATATCCATGATAACCACTTTAATTAACTATCTATATGGCTAAGGTTTATATAATAACTACATTCCAAGGGGCAACAAATACTAATTTTTTGCACCTTCCTTCAACCTTATTTTAGTTTGTAAACATGTAGTTTAGAAGTTGGGACATGATTCTGGGAAACATGGCCTCTCACTATCCATTTGAAGAAGACATCAGTTGAGGTCTGTGGTTCTATTTCATCCCTCCTGTCCACCAGAGGGTGGTGTTGAAAACACTGAATGTTCCCTTCGGGCATGTGTAATTCTAGTAATTATGCCTACAGAGTCACACCTGTGACAACTCAGAAGCTACAATACATAGCCTTGTGTCATCCTAGGGCGTTGTTCCTTTTTTCTTCTCGCAAGTGGTCTGCTATCTTCTCCATTGTTTGATGCCACTGTCTCAAGCAGCTTTCTTGCAAGACTGCTTTTCTGTTAGCTATCATCTCAGCTAAGAGGGTAGGCGAGCTACATGCTCTCTCTGTCAGCCCTACCTGTATCAGGTGGGCTGCAGGTGGCTCCAGTGTTACCCTGTGCCCTAATACTGCATTTGTGCCTAAGGTGTTGTTTCCTTTTCATCATAACCAGCCAATGCGGCCGGCTCGGTTTCAGCCTCAGTCAGGTGCAACTAAGGATGGGTCAGTAAGGGCATTGGAGGCATACATTGCAGCCACCACAAATCTAAGACACTTTTCCTATGTTATGGGGGTTAGGCTGTCATTTTTCCAAGCAAAGTCTGACCCATTGGATTGAGTGTCATCTGCCACACCTACGCTGCAGATTGCTCCATACCAGAATGAGGGCACATTCCACCAAGGGCAACTCCACTTCCTGGGCGGTTTTGAGAGGGGTCCTGCTGGAAGCAATACAGTGGCAGCCATTCAAAATGGCCCTTCCCAGTCGAACAACAGCCGAATGGCAGTCCACTTCCCTCAAATTCCCAATGAAACCCTCTCTAACTTCCGGCCACTGGAGTGACCCCCTCTTTCATATTTTTTGTACTCTGACTCCACCCTTTCACTGAATTACAGGGTCTGACAAGGAGATGACCCTTCTCTTTAGATCTTAATGTCTATAACTCATGACAGAAAGAATACTTTAGTACCAAAATTGATGATTAAAAAGCAATTCTAGGGGACCAGCCAAGTACCAGCCAAGGGCCCATCAAGGAAAGTGGGGAAATTTTGAATGGCTACTATTGTATGTGTTTCTGCATCATGGGCTTCCCTGAGCACCTTCACAAGGTTCTAGAATGTCAATGTGGCTGCCCCTCATCCACTGGGTCAGGTCCTTTTACAAGGTTCTGCTGGGCCCTCTCAGTGAGGGATGTGTTTAGGATTCCTTTCATTAGTCATTCAGTGCTTTCAGCACTTCCCTCTGACGGTCAGGAGGAATGAAATAGAATGGACTTTAGTTATGTAATTACGGTTCTATGAATCCCGTATGACCGCAGAGTTTCTGTGTCACTTAAAACCCTTACTTCTGCAAGAAGATTCTGTAGGAACAGAGCCAATGATGACACCACGCTATGTAGCTTCTCTGTGGTCATCCGGTGTCACAAGTGTGACTCTGATTGTATAATTACTCGAACTGCGCATTCCCGAAGGGAACATTCAGTGCTTTCAGCACCAATAAATAAGCAACTTTATATTTACATCAGTGCATCTAGTGGCAATAAAAAGCCTTTGCCTTTCATTTGCCTTTCAGGGGAGGAAAAGATAGGCAAAACAAAACAATATATATATAAAAAAAGTTATTCTCTTTTTCTAGTTAGAAGCTATTAAACAGTCCTCTCTGTTATTTTTTTTAATATGCAGATGTAGTGTGATAACCCCATTTGAATAAATGTTTTCATGAAAAACATATAATAGACACATAATAGAAACACATTATCTTTGTAACAGCATAACCTTAAAAGATTAATGCTGATACAGGCATTTGCATTTTTTACTTTTTTAGTCAGCTTATTAATTTTTTGACATGGCATTTCAACTTTTTCTCTTAACTTTTTAGCTTTTCGACTTAACTAAAAAAAAAAAAAAAAATATATATATATATATATATATATATATATATATATATATATATATATATATATATATATATATATATATATATATAAAGTAGGTAACATTTCAACCACTGGCTGATCTAATTTAATACATGCCAAAATGACATGTGCTGCCACTTAGTTGTGTCTGAATATAGATCTGATGCTTCTAGAACTCACTGAATAACAGGGGACTCCATTTATAAGGGTGTGCAAGTGACCAAAAATGGCAACTTTGAGTAATTTTTATGAAAAAGAGTGGCTCTTGTGTGAATTTAGTTTAAGCAAACCAGAGAAGTGTTACATTTTGTGTTGAAACATTCATTCTCTGGAAGTTTTGGGCATTTCTTAAACAAACCTGGCAGCCTGGCTTAACAGCAAATAATCATATGCTACAGTGTCAGATCCGATGTGAGTGGGTTGGTATATGTATGGGTCACTCTCACTTGTTCATTAACTGCAAGATGTGATAGGCAGATGCAGGTCCACAGCTGTAGCACATCAGGACTAATTGGGAATAGATTAAAGAGGCGCAGATCCAGAGGAAGATGTTGCAGTTTTATTGCTCACAGCACGGTAATTAGGTGGTCATCTCTTGAGTTACACTTGTTTGTA